TTATTAACCTAGCTTTCAGGACAAAAAGTTAATGTTCGTGTCTTGTATTGTATTATATGCATTTACTTATTTCTTTAATGAGAAAATAGTCTTTTTAGATAACTGATATATTCGTATTCTTACTCTTTAGAAATCTGTAAACTTTGTTGCACATTATCACTTGAATAGACCAAATAATTAGAGTGCCTACTCATAGACAATTAGCTTTCAGTAAAACTGAAGTTTATAGAAGAATTTAAAAAAAGACAGTTACCAACTGCATTGAAAATCTAAAAATAAGGGTTTCACTTAGGTTTCTAAAAGCAATTGAGATCTTTTAGACTAACAATAACTTATTGTGTCACATTTAAAAGTATCATTATTAATTTAGGATGGTATTCCCAATTCTGGTATTAGAGTTTTTGTGATTAAAAAAGCTGCTGTTTAATGGATTGCTGAGAGTGATGTAAAATGCAAGCAGGGTTAAATAAAAAGATAAGTCATGGAAGTATCATGGCCTTCTGGGCAGAATTTCAAAGGACTTTAAAGGCATTAGGAAGTTGGGTACCTTTAGGCTTTTTTGAAACTCCCAACTTGAATGTATGTAGCATGTGTCTTCAAGTGGATCAAACTATAGCATTATACTATAGCGTTTTAATCCCACTTACCGCAAGTGCTTGAAGTCAGCAGATTGAAAGCAAAGTTTGTAAAGGAATCGTTTTCATTGAAAGTGACTTGCTTTAAAAAAAATCAGTCAGGATTCTAATCTGAGATACATACAGATATATAATCACAAACTTTTACTATGAGGGGAGGGTGAACCTACCAGAAACAAGGCAAGGGTATAATTCTACAGGCACTTATTTATTTGCATTACTGTGGCACTTAGAAGCTCTAATCATGGACCAGGACCCTCAGCCCTGCCACTCAGGGCAGAAGGAAATAGCACAGAGAGATCCTTTGCTAAGGACACTATGGAGGTATTTGTGTTATTCCTCAAGCTGAGAATCCACTTGTGACAGAGTGCAGAGTGGGAACAGATGAGCATGCACTCTGATCACTCAGATGTTAATTAGTTTCTCCTGAGAAAAATCAGGCTAACTGGCTGGAACGTCGAAGGAGCCAATTACCCCCTCAGCCTAAGATGGATAAAGAGGCAAGAAGGAAGCCCCAAAAGTGTGTGTGTGCGAGAGAGAGAGAGAGAGGGTGGACGGATGGATGGATGGATGGATGGATGGATGGATGGATGGACTGACCGACTGACTGACTGACTGACCGACTGACTGACTAGTTGAGCTCAGTACCATGGAGGCCTCAAGGGAGAGAGGCCTCTGTTCCCCTCAGATCCTAGGAAGAGAGCCAAAAGTGTTGTCGACACTGTAAATAGACTGTTGCGTGGGAATGGTTGTAGAAATGGTAGAGGGAACTTAAAATAAAAGAATATGGTGAAGGCACAACCACTGGAGTCTATCCAGTGTCTGCAGGGAGAAGGAGAGAAAGGAGCCATGCCCTATGACACCACTACTGTAAGAATTACCACATGTTCCAAAGGTGCTGACTGAGGGCCAGCCAGAATGCTTAAAATAACAAGAACTAGTACAAGGCTCTTCTTCAAGACTGATTTTAAGAAATAAAAGGACTTTGAAGTTTTGACATGCTTTGTGAGATTATTATTATTTTTTATTATTATTGGTGGTGTGGAACATATTCTTTTATTAACATTTTCTGTAAATTTTATGTCATTTATGGTTGATTGGTGCTGTAAAATGATACTGTTTCCAGATGTTAGTAGTTAGAGGGCGATGCAAAGAAATTACAGGATAAGCAGATATTTGGTTTAAAAAAAAGAGGGAGAGAGAGAGAAATAAGTATGCTGCAGGTACTTCTTTTCTCTACGGTAGAACAGCGGGGCAGTACTGGCTGTGAGGTTAGACATGGACAAGGAAAGGAACCAGCAAATCTGTCCAGAGGTTTGGAAAGATATAATGCTAGCCTCTATGGTCCATTGAAGTCAACGGGTGTCCAGGCATTCTTCCTTGGAAAGCTGACTAAATACTAGTCATAAAATGGTAAATCCTTTTACTTTGAAAGGCATCAAACTTTTAATTTAATTTGATTCAAAATTATGGTTTTGTGATGAACTAAAACCCCATGTAGTTTTGCACCGAGTTCATTTCTTCAGACAAAATAGTTCTTAATTTGCACTCTCAAGAAATTACTGATGCCGGGAATTTGTAGTGGTGTATATAGAGCCTTTCACCTCTAGATCATCAATCCAGATCCAGCACAACTCAGTAGCAACCAACAGTTGGTAAAAGTTCATAGCTGCTTAACGTCCTATCTGAAAAGAATGGCATGATTTCACTCCATGTCCCATTGGATATGTGACCCCATCAAATTTGGCACTAATTAGCACCCTTGTCAGTAGACTCAGCTAAGAGGCCAAGAAATGAATGGCCTTAAACTATCCTCTTACTCCTAGATATGTTCCCAGCAGAGCATAGTTGGAGGGACATTATAGGGTGGCGTGGGATAGATGAGTTCCATGGATATAATATCAACCTTTAGGGCTGGTAACTGTGAACCTTTCGCAGAGCAATAAAATTCACACCAAATTGTAAATGAATATATTTTAAAAGAAAACACTGACTCCACAAGAGACACGATAAAATTCTTCCCTTCTCCCCTCTGGAATTGATCGGGAGTTTGTTGGGTTTTGGAAGGCTCAACAGATTTGGCATATAGCTAGTCTGACTCTCCAAATGCTGGACATCTGAACTACGAAAATAGTAATTCATTCATTAAATCAGCCAGTTTTAAATTTCTAGGATACCAAAAATAATGGGCCAGATCTTCAGCTGGTGCCAAGTGGCCCTAATATCAGTGGAGCTATGCACATTTACATCAGCTGAAGAACCGGTTCAATGATTTGCAACATTTTGTTGCAGTTCAAAAATGGCTGATCCCAGTTTGCTTTTAAATCATTCTTGGAATAAGACTTTATTTACTGAGACCATATTTGCCCTCCCTGCATTTTTATGACCAAGTTCTAAACACCAAAAAAGCCACCCAAGTTCGTAATGAAAATGCTGCCAGACAGACTGACCCCCTTAGGGGACACAGTCCAACAAATTGATTTGACAGATCCTGACCAGAATTGGACTACACCAGATTACATTGAGACAGTAAGTGTGTTATATGTTCCCCCTCAACTGTATTTAAAATCACTGAAGTCAAAGAATGACTGCTTTAAGAATCATGCAAATGTGGGCGTAGCAATGGATCAGCCTTCCTGTTTGCAAATGGAGAGTCTGAGAAATCTGAAAGAACACAGCCCAATGGGCGAGAGGCAAATGGGAATACAAAGGGAGAGGGCAAGGGGTCAGAGGGAGGGAATGGGGAAAGAGAACAATAGAGAACAAGTGGGGACACAGAGGCAGAAAAGGTGTAGAGAGGAGAAGAGTAGGGTAGTAAGGAAGGAAGCAATGGGCCAAAAGTGAGGGAAAGGGGCAGGGAAAGAGGGAAGGAAAATGGAGAGAGAGGAGAAAAAAAGGGGGACAATATGAGTGAGAGAGAGAGAGTGCTTTCCTAAGGCTCCTGAATTACTATTTAGAATAGTTAGCTGTGCCGCTTTAAGGTCTCTAGTGTAGCTGCTCTAAGCCAATAGGAGAGAGCTCTCCAGTCGACTTAATTAATTCACCCTCAAGGAGTGGCGGCAGCTATGTCGGCGGGAGAAGCTCTCCCACCAACGTAGCGCGGTCTACACCAGCACTTAGGTCGGTGTAACTTACATAGCACAGGGGGTGGCTTATTCACACCCCTTAATGACATCAATTATACCAGCATAAGTGGTAGTGTAGACATAGTGGAGATAAGATGAATGCATTCAAGAAACAATCCCCAAATATTGTTGTTTCAGAAAAACCCTTGAGCGAGAGGGAGGGTGTGTGAGAGTCCTCCCTACAGCTGCACTGACACTGGCAAAACTTGGACATGCAAGTCAGCACTAGTGCAGCTCCAGTTACTACAAATGGCAATCAAGATAGGGCCCGACTGGATGTGTATTGCCCAGTGCCTCCCTGAATGAATGTCTTGTGTCTAACGAGCCCCCTTTACCCCCACATACACATGCTACCAGCTGGGGTAGAATGCTGGGCCCTCAGCTACCAAAAACAGGCCCCTAAACTGATACCAGGCTCTTTATCCTCTATGTGGACTAGCCATTAGCCATCACATTTAACACCTGTGCGCCTCTATGATAGTGTGTGTGTGTATTCTTGTACTCATGTGTTTGCGTTCCCGTGTTTGCATCTGTCCCCTTGTGGGTGCCTCTGGTCACTGTACATGTAGCCCAATGTGTTGGCCTTCATTCCTCCCTTTCTGGGCCGTGTCACTCTGTGTGCATTGTCCTATTCCCCCCCCCCACCCACACACACACAATTCTCTTATCAGCACCTGTGTGACTCTGCATCAACCTGTGTGTTGGTTTCGCATGTTTGTGCGTGCCACTTCATGACCCTCTCTGTACCAGTGCACTGCTCCCCGGTCCCCCAGTGAGTGCGTCACTCCTCCTGCCCCCAGTGAGTGGGTGGGTGTGTTGCTCCCCCTGTCCCTGTGAGTGGGTGGGTGAGTGTGTTGCTCCCTCTGCCCCAGTGGTGGGTATGTTGCTCTCCCTGCCCCTGTGGGTGGGTGGGTGGCTATGTCTCTCCCCCTGCCCCCAGTGGGTGAGTGGGTGGGTGTGTCGCTCCCCCTGCCCCCAGTGGATGAGTGTGTCTCTCCCCCTGCCCCCTGTGGGTGAGTGTGTCGCTCCCCCTGCCCCCAGTGGGTGGCTGTGTCTCTCCCCCTGCCCCCTGTGGGTGAGTGGGTGGGTGTGTCGCTCCCCCTGCCCCCAGTGGGTGAGTCGCCCCCCCCCCGCTCTCCTCCTCTCCGGCTCTCCCGGCGGCGCTGCCGGGGCGGGTGGGTGACTCACGCTGCCTTTGAATGGCAGCCCCGAGCTTTATAACGGCGGGAGCGGCCCGAGCTCCCGGCTCTGCTCCTTCAGCTGCCGCTGCCGCCGCCGCCGCTGCCCTCGGGGCGGACCCCGCTCCCGGCGCAGCCCCAGCGCGGCCAGGCACCGGGCACCATGCGCTGCGCCCCCCTCCTGCTGCTGCTGCTCTCCGCGGGGGACGCCGCGGTCATCACCGGGGTGAGAGCCGCGGGGCGTCCGGGGGGACACGGGAGCCCGCCCAGAGCCCGGCTCCGGCGGCCCCG